GTCCAAGGAAACCAAATCTGGATGCAAGTATAGTGTTGTTTCTGGTTTTGTTTTTTTCTCAGAACAATGAATATGTACGTACATTCAAGACTGCAAAAGATATTGCAGAGCTGCAAAATATAAGTTCTTTTTCCGTTCGTTTGTTCAGCAATGTTCCGGATCGCACATATGATCTCCCTTCATCAGGATCCTTAGGTTGCATTGTTAGTGGTGATGACAATAATTGCAGTGCCTATGATATTGTAGTCCATTCTAATTCTGGCCGGCCACAACGTATTAGCAAGCTTCATCCCTGTTACATCCCCGTGCAATATCCAATTTTGTTTCCATATGGTGAAGATGGTTGGTCTCCACAGTTGAAATTGAGAAATGAACTTGGTGTCAATGCTCGGAACCTCACAGTTAACATGTACTATGCATATCAGATCCATGCTCGGCAGGGAATATGGTCTCCAATTTTAAGTGCCTCCCGCCTCTTTCAACAGTATCTCGTGGATGCATACACTTGTATTGAGGGTGCACGGTTGGACTACATTTCTAAACATCAGGACAGTCTTCGTTCTGAGTATGTTAGTGGGCTATACGATGCGCTTTCAAAGGGGGACAGGGAGGGTCGGTTTGTAGGCAAATGAGTATTTTTGCCAACCTCTTTTACAGGAGGTCCCCGGTACATGTATAGTCACTATCAGGACGCACTGGCCATATGTAGAGTTTATGGTAACCCACAGTATTTCATAACTTTCACATTTGAATGTATAATGGCCAGAGATAAGACGATACATGGATAGATATCACTAGAAGGATCCAAATAGCAGGGCAGATATCATTGCAAGGGCTTTTAAACTGAAGGTTCATGCTTTTGTGGACTTCTTGAAACGAGACAGGACTTTCGGTGATGTTGATGCATGTAAGTTATTTTGTTTGCCTATGACTTGAAATCTATTATTAGTTGAGATTATTTTTGGTTGAAATATCTTATCAGCTGTTCAATTTTCATGATTATTTTGCTTATTTCTTATTCTTTATTGTGACACCTAAATGAGACAAATATAATTGTATGCCACTGTTGTGTGATTGGAAATTGTTAAGTTGAAACTTTGTTAGCTATAGAAAGATTATGCAGGGGCGTTTTAGTCAAAAATTGTTAAGATAAATTTTTTTTGGAGTATAAAAGTAGCATCTAGAGGCAATTTGGTACAAAGTTCTTCAAATATATATATATATTTTTTAAGAATAGTATGCAGGGGCATCTTCGTCCAAAAATCTTACAATCTATATTTTTAACTATATACACGCTATGCAGGGCGAGTTTGGTAAAAATTTGTTTCCATAAAAATTTTTTATCTATAAAATTAGTATCTACGGGGATTTTAATGAATAATTTTTTGTAGGCAGTCCCGTAAGTATAAAAACAACGTGCAGCATATAAAACATACATGTTACAAATAATTGGAATGAAGATACAGGAGTCTATCGTCTTTCATCTACAGCTACCTGTTTTCTTGCATTATCATCTGTTTTCGTTTCAATGGTTTACCGTTTTTATATGTTTTTTTCTTTTCAGTATTTAAATGGTTTGTATACATATGTCATGTAAGAATGTGATAATTGTATCCTTGCATTTGTATTCAATTAGATTCCCTTATCCTCATTTCTTTTTTAATTCAATGGTTTACAAATACTGACTCTTTTTTCTAAAAGTGGATAAGTAGTTTGTATTTTCATATCATCTCAGATTCTTACAATTCTGTTTTTCAATCCATATTAAATTACATTGTTTTATTCTTATCTTCGATCTTTCTGTATTTCATACACCCTAAATTTGATGTGCATATCACTACCAAAAAACAAAGTGCATTTTTTTTAATTTAACAAGTATAATTATGTTGACAGATTTGTATACAATTGAGTTTCAAAAGAGAGGTCTTCCACATTGTCATACGTTATTATGGGTAAATAGTTCATCTAAAATACGCCATGCTGAAGATGTAGATACATATATAACTGCTGAATTGCCAGATCCGGTTGCGGAACCTGCATTGTATAGAACAGTTACTGCATGCATGGTTCATAGTCCATGTGGTCCACTAAATGAAAGAGCTCCATGTATGAAGGATGGCAAATGCAAGAAACATTTTCCAAAGCCGTTTCTCGATTCTACATTCTTTGATACTGATGGTTATGTGCGTTACAAATGATCTTCAGCAGCAAAACACATAACACCACGTGGGGTTCCAATAGATAATGGGTATATCGTACCCTATAACAAAAGGTTATGTTCTCGGTTTGATGCACATATTAACGTTGAGTACTGTGGATGGAACATGATGATAAAGTATCTCTTCAAGTACATTTCCAAAGGAGCAGATCGTGTTAGATATGCACTAGAAAAAACTGAAACACAAGATAGAGGTGGCCCAAGTGTTGTGACAAATAATAAAGTGGATGGAAAAGAAAAGGAATCCTGTTTTGTAAATGAAATTCAGAATTTCATAAAATGGAAGATACATCTGTCCACATGAGGCGGCATGGCGTATTCTTGATTTTCACATACATCACCGACACCCACCTGTTTAGATTTTGTCCGTTCATACAGAAAACACGCAGCATATTGTGTTTAACGAAGAGAGCACAATACAAGAAGTTTTGTCCAACCCAAATGCTTCTAGAACAACCCTTCTTGCATGGTTTGAGAGCAATGCAATAGATTCTTCTGGTCATGATGTCACATATGTTGACTATCCAAAGTATTAAAAATGGGATGGTCCTTCTAAATCGTGGGAACATAGGGCTGATGACACATCAAAAATGGTTGGTCGGGTTGTCTTTGTTCATCCATCGTCTGGTGAACTGTTTTATATGAGAATGTTACTTTCTCATCAGAAGGGTTGCAAATCATTTGAAGATCTACGTACCGTTTCCAACATTGTCCATCCAACCTACAGAAGTGCGTGCAATGCATTAGGAATAATTGGAGATGACACCGAGTGGATGAACGCATTCGTTGAAGCTTCGGTCTGGGCGACTTCAGAACAACTGCGATCCCTTTTCTGTCACCTGCTGCTTTTTTGTGAGGTAAGTAATCCACGCCTCTTATGGGAAGTGGCACATGAAAAGATGTGCGATGATTATCTGTACACAATGAAAACCAGAATATTGGATAGGTCTTTGTCTTTCAAGGATGATCTCATAACACAGCAGTTGCTTCACAGTTTAGAGGATACACTTCGTTCTTCCGTCCCTTCAAGATCGTTACATGATTTTGATTTACCGATGCCATCATCTGATATCCTTCATGTGATTGATAATCGACTCTTACTTGAAGAAATGGCTTACAATAGAGAAGAACTACATAAAGTACTTAATCAATTTCTGCCACGATTAAATGCACAGCAGATGTCAATCTATCAAACAGTTATTGGGTGCATTGAAGATAAGAAACATATATTGATGTTTGTCTATGGTCATGGTGGCACAGGCAAAACTTTTCTATGGACTACGATTCTTTCTTATCTTAGATCAATTGGGAAAGTGGTTCTAGCTGTTGCTGCATCTGGAATAGCATCATTACTACTTCCATCTGGAACAACTGCACATTCAAGATTTAAGATTGCAATAGACCTGACAAACAAAAAATCATGTGATATAAAAAAGAGAACAATGTTAGGTGATCTCATGTGTCATACATCACTTATTGTATGGGATAAAGCACCAATGAGTGACAGAAGATGTTTTGAATTTCTCGACAGGTCACTACGAGATGTTTTAGATTGTAAGCAAAAACCATTTGGTGGTATTTCTGTCCTCCTTGGTGGTGACTTTCGACAAACACTTCCGGTTATCCCTAAAAGCACACGTTCTGAGATAACGGCCCTTACACTACCAAAATCATATCTATGGCCTCTTTTTGAAGTTAGAATGCTTACGGAAAATATGCGTTTACTTTCGAATACAGATGTCGAGGCACACACAATATCAACAACAGATTTTGCCACTTGGCTTCTCAACATTGGAGATGGTTTGCTTGGATGTCCAGATACAGATGATCCAGACAACACATCTTGGGTTCAAATTCCAGATTCGCTGTTGATCCCGCCTGGACCAAATGCATTACAACATCTTATACAGTTTGTGTATGGAGATTGTATACTCACTAACCCAACTGCCAAAGACCTTTCAGAAAGGGCGATTGTCTGTCCAACAAATGAAGTGGCAGATAAGATAAACAGCATGATCCTGAAAACTATCACAACTTCCGGTTTAGTATATAACAGTACAGATTCAATGCAGCCAAATGGAAAACACACGTCTGATCTAGAAGGCCTATATCCCACAGAGTACCTGAATGAATTAATATTTCCAGGAATCCCACCTCATGCACTTCACTTGAAACAAGGAACACCGATTATGTTATTGAGAAACATAAATCAAAAGGAGGGATTATGTAATGGTACTCGGTTGATTGTTTCACAACTTTTCCCAACCATAATTGAGGCTTCTATAATGACTGGAACTTATATCGGGACATGTGTATAGATTCCTCGCATAAAATTCATACACACACCATCCGATTTGCCATTCAGTTTTTCACGAAAACAGTTTCCAGTCAAAATCTGTTATGCAATAACAATCAATAAAAGCCAGGGACAGTCTTTAAAAATAATTGGAGTTTATCTATCTCAACCAATTTTTGCACATGGGCAATTATATGTAGCTTTCTCCAGAGCAACATCACCTGCATCTATAAAAATTATTATAGAAAGAAATGAACATCTGATACCCACAGAGACAAAAAACATTGTGTACAAAGATCTGCTACGCAATGTAATCCACAAACAGGTACATAACACCCATAACAACCTAAAATATAACTTTCATATCACTATTAGTTACATAGCTGTAACTATTTTCCAAACAAGCGTCAATGCATACTGTATGTAATACCTAACATTTTTACCTCCATTTATCCCTATTTTCCTAACAGTGAAGACACAGTAGTCATGTGTAGTATATCCGATCTGAAGTGCGAAGGTGTTGGAGCTCCTTTACAAGTAAGAATCATCCGCAAATGGAAGAATGATATCCGTCGATACGAGACATGGTACTTAGCTGTTGACAGATTTGTAAGTGTACAAAACATATACACAAAACATAAATATAAAAAAAACAGTTATTATGCCTATACTTTAATACTTAATTAATTCTATAGGGAGATGCAATACAAATTCTTGGACAACGTACCGGTCAAGCTTATATTGAATCAGTATTCAAATTATTCGATTGCTACACGATCTCTGAATACAGCTGTCCAGAACTTGATAGGCACCAGAAGGTATTAGAGAATGATTTCTACATTGAAGTTGGTCTTATTTCAGTCATCAAACAACTTCCAGATACAATGACAATACCAAAACACTGGTTCCGGTTTGTGACAAAATCGCATCTCATGGAACTTGGAGAAAAACCACCTTACTATCCAGGTATACAGATCCCTATTTCATTCTATATCATACATATTACTCACATAATAACATTAATTACTTTTTTAGATTTTATTGGTGTTCTATCAAAAATCAAAGACTGCAGAAAACAAGATGATGAGCCATATGTTTTCCTCCTTCTAACAGACACAGGTAACTGCAATATCATGGAACATATATTAAGTATACATTACACTTCCATCAGGTAGTAACATCATAGATTAAACATGTAGTGGCAATGAACTTCCAATAAACCTATGGAATGAATGCATCACACTCCCAACAAAATCCAACCGCGATCTACTCATCCCGCTGCCTGCGATTATAGTTGTTGCTGTTACAAACCTAAAAGCTTCCACTTATGTAGGTATGGCACTTCCAATCTGAAAGTTACAAAAAAAATTACTACCATGCCATAATAATCTTATTAATGAATAATCCTGTTTTTAATCCTAGGAACATTGCGCCATGGATCATCACCTGCCACCCATGTATACATAAATCCAGAAATACCAGAAACAACAGCACTTCTTGATATGTATGACGTATTTCTCATCTATAACCATCAGATTTCTTGAATAAAACTATTGTTAACCAAACCCTATCTGATTTCAGTTTCCGTGGACCCAAAACCAATTTCTATTCCATCTGGAATACCAATTACATTGCAGGATATCAAAACAAGAAAACGATCGGACTTACTGGTTATGTTACATGACATCTTCCTATCTAATTTCATTGAATAATACTGACAAAAAAAATTCCCTAACATCACAACCATCTGGTTGTAGAATAAAACCTTTTTGATCAAAGCATCAATCATGTATATTCAGTTTCAAGACAATTGGTATCAGGTTCTATGTCCAACTTGTACAGATCCCATTCACAAACAGGGCCCACAATGGTACTGCAGTGCACAATCTGTCATTGAAAACCCAACATTTTCGTAAGTACACTTCAATCTACATTAAAACCGTTTATGTTGTATACTATAAGGTAACAAACTTATTTTAAAAACAACAACAGATTCAACCTAACACAATAGTGACACAACGGACACATATCAGCAATCATATCCGACACCTCATGTCAGAAACTACTCAACTCTACCCTTCAAAATATTATAGCAAACAACAATACCATCGACAAGAAAACACTTCCACCCTTTATTACTCAGCAGAAAGGGCAAACAAAGAACATGTCAGTTCAAATCCTAAAGGCATCCGCTCGGGACAATTTACATTTCATAATTGTGGACATTGAAAGCTTGAATTCTATATCACAAACAAATGTTCCAACAACTCCAGCACAGGTCCCCACAACAAGGCCAACAATGCAACAAACACACCTGAATCTACAATGTCTGTCACCCGCAGCACACGTGCTCTGTTATACAGCACCACTGGTATACACATAAACCAAATTATTACCTATATATACCTTTATGTTTTCTAACACATCCTCTCTGTTGGATACAGATGAGCCAACACCATCAACGGACACAAAGCGAAGCCGCAAAAATAGATGGAATCATCCTAATTTTGTTGTCATCAATGTGTCCCGTCTGTTTGTAGTTAGTATCAGATGTTCCATAAACATTTCACTGCTTTTGTATGTAAACAACATAACATTTTGTACCAAAATGTTAACTATGCAACTTTGATGCTATAAGCTTATGAAATGTACCACTTATGTATGCCTTGAATAGATAGAAATCAGTCTACTAGAACCATAATTGTGGACCCAGCTAAAATACCCCATTCCCTATGATGTATCGCAATATGTATATAAATAATTTGGAATGCTAGTTTACTAGAATACCACTTTTACTACTTTGGTAGCTTTTTTTTGTTCTTTATATTCTTACCACACAACACATCCACACCCCAGAAAGACAACACGTTTTTTTTTTCTCGATTTCATTAAATTAGAATCAAACTTGGTTTGTTACAATTGACAACATATAAACCTGCAATACCCTAAAACCCAAAACTACTTGAACTCATAACCAAAACATGCTACTATTGACAAAAAGTATATAATATTAATGATACATAGATGGGGACCCAACTTACACACTTATAGTTAGATGTCCTCAATGTCGAAGCTAACAACACATCCAAACTCCATTCAACCCATTTTCCAACAGTACTCTAAACGAAACTACAACAATAAACGTACAACATAATCAACATTATCCTTAAACGCCAAAACAAAACACATTTCACACAAATATCCTTACTACAAAGACTACATGTATTGGGTAAACGAAACTACAACAATAAACGTACAACAGAATCAACATTATCCTTAAACACCAAACAAAACACATTTCACACAATATCCTAATCTACAAAGACTACATGTAAACTACTAATTATCACTTCCATTCCTTAAAACAAAAGCATTACATTACATATGAGCGGACAAATACGGTTCCCAACCCATTACCAATACACAAGAAACCAAAAAAAAAACCAAAGAAACACCATTTCCAAAACAGACAACATACGACCATACCCATTTACAACCCAAAAGACCATTCACATTCTAAAACAAAACACCATAACAACTACCTCCATAAAACTATTACCTAATCCACATAAGTTCCATCATCCTCTGGTAGTTTTCTTCAGCTCCTTCCTCAGTTCCTCCATTCTCATCTCTGCTTCCCTCTT